CAGAGAGATTCACTCGATTTATAGAAGGACTTCCTTGCTTTCTTCTGATATCACTAGGAGTTCAGTAAAGCCCTTGGGCTGTCCATCTATCATCCCTCACCATGTAACCATATTCTTTCCTCCTACTCTTTAAAATAGTCAACAAGTGCTTAGTATTATTATGGATCACCACATTTAGGCACTGTAGATACAAATATAAAAATGAAGTAGTCCCTGCCCTCAAGGATAATATGGTCTATTAGGGAAACAAATATACATATATATATATATGTATATGTATATGTGTGTGTGTGTGTGTATATATATATATATATATATACACACACACACACACACACACACAAGGTAATTCTGGAGGGGTGGGCATTCATGCAGAAAGTGGCATTTGGGCCAAGTTTCACAGAAATGGGAGATAGCCTGCACAAATGTTATGCATAAAGAAAAGCAAGAAGGCTAGTCTGGTTGGACCACAAAGTGAATAGAATTGGTCAATATGTAAGAAACCTGCAAAGGTAGAATGAGGTCAGGTTTAATAACAAAGAGGGGAATTTATGTGTGATCCCTGAAGTAACAGATAGCTCCTAGAGTTTATTATTAAGTTTGATAAGGAGTGATATGGTCAGACATATGCTTCTAGAAAATGAATTTGACAAAACTGTGAATGATGTTTTGAAAAGGTGAGAGATTTGAGGCAGATAAAAAAGGGGCTCTTATAGTGGTCCAGGCAAGAGGCAGGCAAGGTATCACTGAATTAAGCTAGTAGCTACGTGAAGAGAGAAGGGGACAGATTCAAGAGTTGCTACTGAAGTAAAAATGACAAGTGTTGTCAACTGATTAGATACGGGACGAGGAAGCAGTGCCAAGTTTCTAAAAGTGGGTAACTAGAAGGATGTTGGTTCATTCAACAGAAATAGGGAAGTTCAGAAGAGGTGTCAGGCAGGGAAAAAGACAGAGTTTTGCAATGGACATGTGAAGTTTTAGATATCTATAGGACATCCAGTCTGAAATGTCCAAGGGGTAATTGTAACCATGCAACTGGAGCTTAGCAGGGAGACTAGGACTAAATAGACCAAAATGGAAGTCGTCTGCATGGAGATAATATTTAAAAGGCAGGTGAATTGAGGTCATCAAAGAGTATAAAAGGGAAAATGTCCTAGTACAGAGCCTTGGGGTACAAACACAATGAAGGGTTATAATATGAATAAAGATCTAGCAAAGGGACTAAGAAACACTCAGACCTGTAAGAAGAGAGCAAGTGCCAAAGTAACTGAAAATCAAAAGAGAGCGAGAAAGAGAGAGGAGTACATCTAAGAGGACAGCTGCAGAGGGGTCCAGAAGGATGAGGACTGAGAAAGCAGCACACACTACGAATGGCCCCTCTCTTTTTAGTAAAATTTGAAGAGAAGAAGAGGAAGTGTTGAGGGCCTTAGGAGAGTAGAGAAGGTTGGGAATAGCTGTTGCAGGGAGTAAGATAATCAATTACAGAGGAATAAGTAATAATAATAGCTAGCATTTATAAAGCACTTCAAGGTTTGCAAAATACAAATCTTATCTCATTTGATCCTCACAAAATCCTCGGGAGGTAGGTAGTTATTTTCCCCATTTTACAGACGGTGAAACAGGAGGCAAACAGAGATGAAGTGACTTGCTCAAGGTTACGCAGTTAGTTAAGTGTCTTAGGCCACATTTGAACTTAAGTCTTCCTGACTACAGTTCCAATGTTCTATCCCTTGCTGCAATGAGGGCCCATATAAGAATAAATATCATAAACAGCTTGATTTCATTTTCTGATAAGATCATTAGACTAGTAGATGAGGGTAATGCTGTGGATACCATTTACTTGGGTTTCTGAATTTGTTCAAGTCTCTCCTAGTGTTCTGAAAAATTTTGAAATGATGATATAGGGCAGTACAGTTGAAAAAGCACAGATACGGAATCAAAGGACCTGGTACAAATTATGCCTCAGCTGTTTACTACCTGTGTGACCTTGGCCAAGTCATTTAATCTCTTTGGGTCTGTTCTCTCATCTGTCAAATAAGGAGGTAAACTAGATAGTTGAACATTTTTATTAGTAACTTGAATAAAGACAAAAATATTAGACTTATCAAATTTGCAGATAACGAAGCTAAGAAAGATAGTTATAGAAACATCACATTGTATAAAGTCAAGAGCCAAAAAGATCTTGACAAGGTCAAAGTTTCATTTAAATGCAAGAATATGAAATTTAACAGAGATAAATGCCAAGTCTTACACTTAGATTAAAAAAAAATTCCTATGACGCTACTATACAGCAGTGCAATTGGAAAAAATTGCAGTTGACTGCAACTTCAGTGAGTCATTATTACAATAATGCAGTTAAAATAACTCAGATGTCATCATCTTAAGCTACATTAAGAGAGAAATAGTGTTCCAAATGAAGAAGACATTAATAGTTCATAGTACTTGATTAGGCCATACAGAGAATACTAGGTTCATTTCTGAGCATCCCATTTTGGGAAGGGCATAGACAAACTGGAAAACTCCCAGGAGGGCAAACAAAATAGTGAAAAGCCAAAGGAGTATTATTGAGACCTACTGCTATTTACACCACAATCATGTCTCAATATTTCCCCACTATTGAACTCCTCCCTTGTAACAAAGAAAAGTTTAAAAAAAAAATCAAACAACCAAATAAATTTTGTCTGACAGCATAGCCAACATTCTGCTCTTGTTGACCCCTACACTGTTAGTATAGAAAAGTATAGCATAGAAAAGACTTGATATTAATAATTATAACTAGGGGGCAACTAGATGGCGCAGTGGATAGAGACCTGAGTTCAAATCTAGCTTCAGACACATAACACTTACTAGCTGTATGATTCTGGGCCAGTCACTTAACCCCAATTGCCCCACCAAAAAAAAAGTAAGGGGGGAAAATGTGTGGTCATCTATTCACCAGGATCAAGAACGCTCATTGCAAATGAATTCAATTATTTTAATGCTATTTTCATTAGGTATAGTGATTGCATATATTGTTCTAGTTCTGCTTGCTTTACTCTGTAACACTTCCTGTAAGTCTTATGTTCCTTCTCAGTTTTCAGTCATCATTTCTTATAGCACACTATTCCATAAAGTCACCAAAACCACAATTTGTTCAACCATTCCTCAAAGAAGGGGAATCAACTCTGTTTACATTTTTTACTGGAAAGTGATGGTGCATATATTGATTCCATGGATTATTTATTTCTGCCTTTAACTACCAATATACGTCCAGTAGGGCAATCTCTAGGTCAAAGGGTATGACAGTTTAGTTTTTCTGACATAAAGAGGTGACCTGTTCTATCACAGCTCAACCTAACTGTATTAATGTGTCTGTCTTGCATTATCTCATCCCATTTGCTTTGTATGAGTTCAAACCTCAAAGTTGTTTTAACTTATGCTTCACTTATTAGTGATTTGGGTCACTTTTTCATATGGTTGACAGTTGACATTTCCTCTTTTGAAAACCTCATATCACAATAGTCCAATTGCAGATCATGCCATACTGTAAGAAAGGGGGATATCTGGCCTCACAGGAATAAAAAAAAATTTAGGACAGTTTTCTTCACAAACTTGAAGAACTGGGATTAGGTTTGTTCTACTTGGCTCCAGTACACCAAACTTAGTACATGAGGTGGAACTTGAAGAAAAGCTGATTTAAGTGACCAAACACTGATTATATATTTACTTACTATGTTATACGCCACACACTATGCTAAATGTTAGGAATACAAGTAACGCCCCCGCACCCCAAAGGAGTTCCTGCTCTCAAAGAGCTTACATTCTAATGGAGGAAGACTACATAACAGGGAACTGAAAAGCATTATTTCTGTTGAGGGAGACAAGGGGAGAAATGAGGTAAAAAAGTCATAGTCAGAAGTTGAGTTAGGAGCCCAGGCAGGTGAAGTGAAAAGACTTGATATTAATAATTATAACTAGGGGGCAACTAGATGGCACAGTGGATAGAGACCTGAGTTCAAATCTAGCTTCAGACACATAACACTTACTAGCTGTATGATTCTAGGTCAGTCACTTAACCCCAATTGCCCCACCAAAAAAAAAAAATTAAAAAAAAAAAAAATAACTGTCTGAAGATGGGAGTGGGCTGCCTCTTTAAGTAGCGAGTCTCACCACTGCCTTCATTAAAGGTCTGCCAACAAAGATCACTACTCACTACTGACAATGTAGGTGAAATTCCTACTCAAACAAAGGTTATCCTGGATCACATCTGAGGTTCTTTCCAACTGTAAGAATTTTTGTGATCCAGGTCCTTATTTACAATAGACAAAAGATAATTCAGGACCCCAGTGTTGGTTCTGCCCCTACTAGATGACCTCAAGCATGTCACTGTAACTATCTAGGCCTCCATTTTCTATAAACAAAGGTTACACTACCCTATTAGGTCTAATGTTCCTTTACCTGTAAAACTATTATCTTATTACTCTAACTCCCAAAACTTTATTCCACACTTCTTTTCCCTTTTGTGTCCAGGGTATAACATTCAATAGAGTACTCATCTACAATCTACATGTTATCTGTAGGTGTCCTCATCTCCTTATACATAATATGCTTACAACCTTATGTTCAAGGTTCTAGTTCCAGAAAAATTAGTTCTCAAATTTATCAATTCTGTATATTTGAATTCCCAAATATAAAGAAGGGTTTTTTTTGAGAATGAAAGTGATATTTTCCCTATATATTTAGATAACAAATTTTAAGAATACTGTTAATATCTGATCTATTTTCACAACCTTAACTGAAATCCAAAAACAAAACTAATGCTTAAATTTAATGTATTAATTAAAAAGATCTCCCATTCCTTCCCTAGAATGAAATTATTTTAGAGTTCCTTCATAATAAACAAGAATAGATGGGAGGAGTAAGCCTATATAAGAATCTGAAGAGAGTTAAACAAAAATATAATGAGAAAGCATTCAGTAAAAAAATGAAAAAGCTCTCAAAATAAAATGTATTAAGCATACCTGTGTAGCTTTGTCCCTCATACATGGAACAGACTGCCCATGATTATCACGAGGCCAGTGTCCTGCAAGATAAGGGGCAGCAAGTGTATCTAATGAGGAAGTTCGACGAATAATGCTGGAAGGGCTTGATGAAGGTGGCCGTGGTTTGTCACCTAAACCAAAGACAAAAACATTTATTTAGGACAGCTTATTAAAAAAAAACGGGGGGACGGGGACGGGACAACCCAGATCTTAGCATACTAAGTCATATGAAAAAAAGTTTCATAGTTTATAGCCAAATAAAACCTAAGATTTTGATGTTCTCCTCTACTAAAAGCTGGTTTTAACTGATCTGTTCCAATGAGTTAAAACCTTATTCTAGCAAATGGTCAAAGGATATGAATAAACAGTTCTCAAAAGAACTGCAAAATATTCACAACCACATGAAAGAATGCAAATCACTAATAAGAGAAACGCCTATCAAAATAACCTTGAGATTTTACCTCACACCCTACAAATTGGCAAAAATGACCAAAAACTGGCAACAGTTAACATCAGAGGAGATGTGGAAGGATAGGCATATCAATACAAATGTTGGTAGAGCTGTGAAATGTTAAACAATTTTAGAAAGTAATTTGTAACTGTGTAAATAAAGTGACTAAAATATCCATACCCTTTGAACCAGAGATTCCATTATTGAGCTTATATCCAGAGGAAGCCATAGATAAGAACAAAGTCCCCATATACATGGCAGCATTTTTTGTGATAGCTAAGAATTGCAAACAAAGTAGATGTACATCAAATGGGGAGTAGTTAAACAAATTGTGGTACATGAATGTACGTGTGTGATGAAGCCTTAAAAGATGTATATGAACTGATGCAGAGTGAAGTGAGCAGAGCGAAGAAAACAATACACACAAGTAATTACAACAATGTAAATGGAAAGAACTACACACCAAAATATAAAAAAAATACATGCAACTAAAGATCAAGTGGGACTGGAGGAGATGAAAGAACATACCTCTAACCCCCAAACACAGGCTATGCCTTCATGGATGTTGGGTCCATAGAGGTTATCCACTGCACATGCCTTCATATTAGTTAGTCCTTACAGATGCTATATTCATACCCAGGCTTTTGTTCATAATAGTAAATCCAAGGAGAAAACCTGAGATTAAAAGGCTTAACAGATTTCCCTATAGAAGAAAAAGATAAAGTCTGCACTATGTCTTGGTGCTTTCTGATTAAGTTTCTTGTCATCTCCTATGTGGAGAATTGAATCTATTCCACTGAATATTTACAAATAATTTTTAGGTTGCTACATATTAGAATTGTCTTGACTAAAAATAGAAGCAGCCAAAGGTAACAGATCCAATCCCCTATGGAGACTTTATAAAAGTAAAAATCTTTTTCATCTACTATATGCTACGCCCTAAATCAACTAGCCAGTTGCCTTGCAATGATGTGTTCTGTGTGTGTGTTAGAGAGAGAGAGAACACGTGTGCATATGCAATGTGTATATGGGAAAGTTTGAGGAAATCAGAAACTGGAAGGGCCATAGAAATAACATGGACCAAACACCTTCATTTTATATTACAAATTGTGCAGCAGAGAAATTACATTACCTGCCTATGGTTAAGCATACAGTAAGTGTTAAGAACAAATCCCAGAAGGGACCTGGCTCCATTATACAACAAGTAGGTCACCCACCTCCAACCATTTAAACTTAAACCTACCACTAATTAAAAGTAAATTCAACTTTTGGAAAGGTGGCAAAGTGATAGGATACAAAGGACATGGTTTCCAATAAAGTCACTAGAAAATATTTCAAGAAATTTAAAATTTACCCAAAAAAGCAATGAAAAAACTGATATGAGTGGAAATGTACATATACATGATAGAGTTTGTGAAAGAGAGAAAAATAAAAGGAAATAATAAAAATAGCAACTGAAACAATACAAGAAATGATGACAAATGCAATTGAACAGGTAAAAGAACCACTAGCGGAATTTTAAAGAAAAAAAAGAAAAAATGTTTACTAAAAAGCTTTCTATTAAAGAAAGCAAAGTTAGAAGTATACAAGGCACAAACTCCTTTCATACGTCTCAAAACAAAACAAAAACAATTTAAATTACACAAGCTAATAAAAATCTACCAAAATATAAAATAAGGGTAAGTTGCTGAACACCTTTTTTAAAAAAATGCTACAATACAACTGAAACACTCAAAGTAACAAGAGAAATGTAGACAGAAAAAGAAACAATGTGAAATATCCCAGATGTACTCAGTGGACAAAAGACACTTAAAAATTTAAGGAACAAGACAGAGCAAAAACAACAACTACAGACCAATGTTCTTAATAAACAATGATGTAAAATTTTTAAATAAAGTATCAGCAAGCTAAAACAAAATATTAGAAAAATTACACACTATGATCAGGTTGGATTTATACCAGTAATGGAAGATTAGTTCAACATAAGATGATAAATATAGTGAACAATGTTAGTAAGATAAATAATAAAAACAATGATTTTATCCATAGATGCTTAAAACAGATGTTCACAAAATCCAACACTCACTTCTATTAAAAATTCTAGTGCTCATAGAAATAAATGGAATTTAAATAGTATTTATCTAAATTCAAGAGCAAACTTCTATGTAATGGAGAAAAGTTAGAAGCAGCCTTTCCAATAAAATCAAGGGTAAATCAAAGATATGCCCATTTAGCATAATAACAGAAATGATAGCCATAGCAATAAGACAAGAAATAAAAATTGAGGGAATAAGCAAAGGCAAAGAAAAAAAGAAATAACAGTTATCCCTTCCACACCAGAGGAGGTAGGAAGGCGGCACCCACACAATCTGAAAAAATCCACATAAAATGTTTTGGCCCTCGCTTTATACCAGAGAAGAAGTCTGAATTTTTCTTTTTATTTTATGGAGTGTTTACAGTACCTTACTGTAAAGTTTGGATTGATATTATACAATACCATACATAAATTTTATGCATTTCTGAGTTCCTAACTTTTTTCTATGTTGTCTGCAGGTCTTTATGTGTCGTCTGTGGCTTCTGCAAAACTCCTAGAAAATTTCCATTTAATTTCTTATGCCAACCTGCGATATATCAAAACCTTGATGTGGAAGGGATAACATATCACTTTTTGCAAATGATATGGTAGTATATTTAGGTGTACTCTAGGAGTCCTCCTAGAGAGGTTAACTGAAATTAATTGAAATAATAACTTGGCAAAGTTGCAGGATATAAAAATAAATTTGCATGTATCATTCTATAATTCTTTTTAAAAACCCAGAAAAGGTTAAAAGAGAAATTCCATTCAAAATAACTACAGAAACCATAAAATTCCTGGGAGTGAATCCTTTAAGATTCATCCAAGCACTATATGATTCTAAACTATAAGAATCTTTATTGAAACAAAGATCTAAGTTAATTGGAGAAACATTAAATGCTCACGAAGATGCTTGAGTCAATAAAATAAAAATGATAATACTACACAAAAAATGTCCATTGTCCCCACTATTATTAGACAGTTCTGGAAATGCTAGCTAATAGAAATAAGAGAAAGAAAGAAAACACTGATATAAAATATCAGACTTTTTTGATGTGTTAATTTAATTTCCTAGATTTTTTCCCCCTTCTCTTAAAAAAAAAAAAAATTGTTATATGAGATGACTCTGTAAAGGAGGTGAGGTAGGAGAAGACTATCTGGAAAATATTCTGGTAATGTAAAAAACTAAAGAAATTAATATATATATTTTTAAATTACTGACATCAGAAACTATAGAAAAAAAACAAAAATTATAAATACTATATTCTATGAATAACTCCAAGAAAGTTTCCAAAATTATTTTTTAAAACCCCAAACAATAGATAAACTGAAAGAATCTATGGGATTTTGATACTAAAAGTCTCAAAGACTAAAACCATAAAAATACCTTATAGTTAAACTAAAGTACTTTATAGTTAAAATAGCAAGAGGAAAATCCTGCTAAGGAGTTATCTAGAAGCATTACAGAAGACTTCTCTAAGACGATAAACGATGAGAAGAATTAGAATGTTATACACACAAAATGGGGAATTCTAGTTTTTGGACACAGAAATTCTCTCCCACAAAATTCAGCATAATTCATTAAACAAAAGATGGATATTTTCAAAGAATGTGACAAATTTACAGAGACACATTTTAAATTAGTCTTAAAAATACCTATCTCAATTTTCACAATAAACGACCTGCTTACTAGATAGAATCTTCAGAGTACTGAACCACTTAATGTTTTAAAAGACTTGCACATAGGCGGAGCCAAGATGGCGGAGGGAAAGCAGTGACTATCTTAAGCTCTCTCCCAAAGCCCTCCAAATACCTAAAAAAAATGGCTCTAAACAAATTCTAAAGCTGCAGAACCCACAAAAAGACAGAGTGAAACAAATTTCCAGCTTAAGACAGCCTGGATGGTTGATCAGAAAGATATATCGCGCCAGGCTGGGAGAGGAGCGCAGTTCGACGTAGGCATGCAGGCCGCAGTGAACCTGGAGCAGGCCTCAGAGGACTGAATTGCAGGCAGCTGTGGAGGTTTCCAGACTTCTCAACCCCTGAACACCAAAGACAACTTGGAATGTCAGTGGGAAAAGTCTGTGACTGCGGTGAGAGAGGAGCTAGGTCTCAGCCACAAGTCTCCAGCACGGCCTAGGGCCGAGGCTTTTTCCTGAGCTTCCAGCCCACAGACTGAGGGGGAATCGAGTGGCTGATCAGAGGGGGATTGCAGGGATCTCTTTGCCAGTGCTGAGGCAGGAATCTCTTGCTTTGCCTGTGCTTAGATCTGGGTCACAGTTCTGTGGGGCGGTCCTGGGGCGAGGAGGAACGCTGGCATGGTGGTGCTTGTGGTGGTGGTGGAGAGGAAACATCTCGCTCCTTATCATACCACCCTGGAAGAACTGAAAACTTACAGGTCCCTAGAAGTATCTCTGAAAACAGCTGTACAAACCCCCGAAGCTTGGGACAGTACATTCTCCACATTGGAAGCAGACTTTCACCTTAACGAAGAGTTTAAAACTCAAGTAATTGGCTGGGATCATGAATAAGCAATGCAAAAAGAGTCAGACTATATTATCTTAGTTTGGTGACAAAGAAGATCAAAACATACAACCAGAAGAAGA